GGTAGTTATAAGTGGGGTTATAAACCCCCTAAATATGGGTTATAATTATAGTTACCCTACTTATGACCCCACTTATAACTACCCATGAACCTCCAAGTATTCAGCCCTCATCGAAACCGAAACCGTAAACCCTAAACCCTAAACCCCTGAACCCTAAACCCTAAACCCCTAAACCCTTAACCCCAAGGGTTTAGACCCTGATAGAACCTCCTGATCCCTGGAAGCACTCGTGCAGAAGGGACGTGATCGCCTGCTCCCACAGGTTTAGGGTTTAGGGTTTAGGGTTTAGGAGTCTTCGGGAGCACTTGGCATCTGGCCCTGAAGCATATTGTAAGATTCAAAAAGCCCCGGGCCTGGGCAGTTACTAGGATTCTTTATATGGGTCCTATTATTTGGGCGATTTAGGGTTTACGGATTTAGGGCCAGGGTTTCTTAATCAGGTTCCTACAGTATGTCTCAGGGTCAGATCAAGAAAGGCGAGATCCGATTTCGAGTGTTGGACTTGATCCTGCACCCCATGTTCGAGCAGGCGCCCGAGGGCCTCCCCATCGGAATCGCCACGGAGGGACGTGCATCAAGATCACCCAGGACTGCGCTCGAAGGCAGCTTTTGGAGCAAGTGCGAGCCGCGCGACCCGAGATTCTTCACGTACAAGTCCTTCGTGTGTGTGAGCCTGGCTGGTCGTCCCCGCATCTTCAGCACTGATGCCTTGAATACACTGAAGAGGTACACATACCATCACCACTCCTGCCAGGGGACGATCTGCTGGGAGCATACTTGACAGATCTGTCAGGCATGCTACAGCAGGGGATGCCAATGAAGGCATAGTCCTCGACGGACGCCCAGAGTGATGAAGCATCCTTCCAGCGACTCAATCCCCCAGAGACTCCAATACCCCTGAATTAAGGAATATACCCTATATTATAGTAGGATCCCTAATCTGATTTAAGGTAGATTCCTTAATGAAGGGGTATTGGAGTCTCTGGGTCCGAGGTATCTGGAGGACCGTTGCTGCCAGGTCGGTGCTCACGTTTGCGTCCTCGTGTCTCTCTGCACGGAGGCCCTTGGAAGGACTGAGCTTGGCAGCCCGGTTTCGGTTTAGGGTTTGTGGTTTAGGGTT